AATTGTCCACGAAAGAATGCACCGAGATTAGAAATGAAAAATGGTATTATGACAACGTGGTAAGTTTTTTTTGCAGCAATCGATCTGCAGGCTTAATGGCTTTATGAGAGGCCCGTAATTTTAATATGTTAAACAGAAATGTGCCATACACTCTGAAATTACGCCTCGTTTATTCCAAAGCGTCGAATATGATTTACTTAATTTGGTTTATGAGAAACAGGAAATTGGTGATTTAATGTTATGAACCCTGTTAGATCCTGTTTTGCTAAGAAATGATAAATGAACGAAGATAATCTGTTTATCTATGTGCTGCGACGGCTCCTGAATTTCAGCTGCAATTAGCCTGCGGAACAAAAGTTATTGACGACAAAAGATGCAGTAATGGGCATATAATCGATCAGATTTAATACGCCTGATTTTCTGAGGCAACCAAGCAAATACTTTTTCTATTAATGAAGCCGAAATTGTGCAGTTCATTCAGACTCAGAAAAGGAAGAAAAGTTTTAGCCGTTGTAATGTCGGTTTTCTTGTACATAATGGGGCCATTTTCAGCACTGTTTTTTCATAAGGTTAATGGCAGGGCCCGTTCAGTACTATCAATTACGAGTGCCTTATTATTTTTAAGGACAGAATCGATATCGGCGATGTGGCAAGCATCGGGTGTAATCTCTTGATTTCTTGTCACACAATCGTACTCATTTATCGTTCTCGGAGGAAAGAAAGGTAAGTGATCACTAATGGGACTGGAACCCAAGACCCGTCAATTCTGAATCTGATACGCTACCGACTGAGCACCCCCCATCCTCGGTCTGAAGCGACTTGTGGTATTTTTTTTTGATAAGATATTTCATTGTTGAGACAGACTGACCTAATTCGGAATTAAACTCGGCACCCACAGAGTTAGAAGGTGACCTCGTAGGCACTGTGCCATTACGCCTCAAACTTCAAAGATATACTGATAATACGATATGATATCACTGTTTGCAACAGTAATGATTTAGAGTAGGAGACGTACCTTCTACGGGCTTCGAAATACTAGAAGGAGAGAAATTTTCTAGCCGAACGAGCGACTGCTTTGAACTTATATTTCATAAATAATTTATTGAACTAATTATGTTTTCATGTATATTTAAAATATAGGTAACATAAATATGTATATGGCTAAAATAAATTTGAAAAACAAATTGAATTTTAATCACGAACCTTTTGCATATAAGGCTCGACATCCCAACGGTGGAGGGGCAATTACAGCA